ATGCGGTACAGGAACTTGCTATGTAGTACTATAGATTTGCTCACTAACTCACTGACATAGAAATCGACAGGAAGTGCGGAGTGGAAATGTGTTGTACGTCTTTACCGATATTGGTAAAGACGTGTCATTGTCACGCTAGAGATATATATAATATATACATTAGTACTCTAGTTATATAGTAATACAGTATATATACTACATTAGAAAATTTTAACGGTAGGCCTAATATAATGGCAGAGAGCAAGCGTCAGCGTTCCTATACTGTAGAAGAAAAGCTAACTGCAATAGATGGAGTAAATAGCGGAGAAACCCAGGCCAAAGTTTCAAAAGATATTGGGATTGCAGAATCTACTCTCCGAGGATGGCTAAAGAACTAATCTAAACTGAATGGCTTTGTACGAAATATCAGTTCTGCCACAGGGCAGAAGTGAAAACGTGTGCACTATTCAGCAAAACCCACAATAGACAAAGCCATGTGCACGTGGTTTGCTCAGGAAAGGCTGAAAGGAATGATGCTAAGTGGGCCAATTCTTCAAGCCCAAGCGACAAAATTTGGAAATGTAACGGGGGATGAATCATTCCAAGCCAGCAAGGGGTTTATAAGTCGTTTTAAAAAGCGTCATGGCATAGCACAGGTATCGATTTCTGGAGAAAGCCGATCAGCCGATAAATCAGCCGCGAAGGCGTTTCCCACCGAGTTACAATCTATTTTACAAAATGAAGACTACCACGAAGAACAACTTTATAACTGTGATGAAACAGCTTTATTTGCAAAACTGCTACCTGATGAGACTTTAGCCTTTAATTACGAGACACAGAAAACAGCTGGATTTAAAAAGATAAAAGATTGTGTGACTCTTCTTTTTAATAGTAATAAGATGGGCAGCCATAAGCTTACCCCTCTTCTCACTGGCTGTTTTCATAACCCTCGCTGCTTTAATCACCTCAATAGAGCCAAACTGCCAGTAATATACGCTAACTGCAAAAATGCTTGGATGACAAGACGCATTTTCGACGACTGGTTCCACAACAGCTTTGTTCCAGCTGTTCGTAAGCATCTGCGGTCGAAGAAACTCGAAGCCAAAGCACTTTTGCTACTTAGCAATTGTCCAGCCCATCCTCCAGCCGAATCACTGGTATCGAGAGATGGAAAAATTCGAGTGCTATACCTACCATTCAACACAACATCAAAAATTCAACCTTTAGACCAGGGCAGAATTTTAAAAACAATTATTGACGGGAGCTGATTTCAGCGATCGTGTCATGCACAGCTAGAGGCATTTCCGAATTCCTGAAACAGTTAAACATGAAGGAAATTATTTATTTCGGTAAAAAAAGCTTGGGACGGAGTAAAACGAACGTCCATTGAAAACTACTGGATGAAGGCTCTCGGTGATGCCTCTTCTGTCAAAGACAGGTCAGACTCGGAAAACTCCAGCAGTGGCACTGATTCAGAGCCAGACTTTGAAGGATTTTCAGAAGATGTCCTACAAACACGCATGCAAACAAAAGAGGATAAAAGTAAACTTCTCTTTCAAATGATAAAAGATTTTAGTTTGGATACGTCGCCGGAAATCATTACCGAGTGGCTGGAGATGGATGAAGATTGCCCGACTTCAGAATTTCTGTCTGAGGAAGAAATATTATCAGGCTGCGAGCCTACGTCGGACCGCAAAAGTGATGGCGAGAATTCTAATAATGCAGGCCTAAATGACAATGATGACGATGATGAGGATGTCGTTGAAAAGGTCAAAATTTCGCCCACAGAAGCCCTTAGTGCTGTAGAAACTATTGTAAGATTTATGGAGGAGCAAAATGCGGAAAATATCGAAAACATTCATCTGCGGCAAATGACAGACTTCATAAGAGAGAAAAAAATGTGAGCATGAAAGAGCAGAAAATAACAGCGTTTTTTTCTAAGTGAATCATAGACACTTTTTTCAGCATGGCCCTCTTAACCCACGGTCATGACAGCTTGATCCCCGACATCCGCGCGTAAATGGGTCTGTACAGTAAACCTTTTTCAGTACCCCCCCCCAGAGGGGTAACTGTTGTTTATACTTATTATTAGCATGCAGTGTTATTGTAGTCATGTCTTACTCCTGGAACAATTCTGCATCGCTTCACACATGCAGAATTCATGTGCTGCTCAGAATTTTTTTTTTTTCCTCAGCAGAAAATTCATTCTGCCAAGAAGTGCTGCAGTTACACCTTTTGGCCACCAGGGGCCACTGTGAACATAAGAACCGCTATACTGGGTCAGACCAAAGGTCTATCTAGCCCAGTATCCTGTCTTCCAACAGTGGCCAATACCAGGTGCTTCAGAGGGAATGTACAGAATAGGTACTCATCAAGTGATCCATCCCCTGTCGCCCATTCGCAGCTTCTGGCAAACAGAGGCTAGGGCAACCCCTGCCCATCCTGGCTAACAGCCATTGGTGGACCTATCCTCTATGAATTCATCTAGTTCTTTTTTAACCCTGTTATAGTCTTGGCCTTCACAACATCCTCTGGCAAAGAGTTCCACGGGTTGACTGTGCTTTATATGAAGAAATACTTCCTTTTGTTTGTTTTAAATCTGCTGCCTGTTAATTTCATTTGGTAACCCCTAATTCTTGTGTTATGAGTAGGAATAAATGACACTTCCTTATTTACTTTCTCCACACCAGTGATGATCTTATAGACCTCTATCATATCCCCCCTTAGTTGTCTCTTTTCCAAGCTAAAAAGTCCCAGTCTTATTTATCTCTCCTCTTATGGAAGCTGTTCCATACCCCTAATTATTTTTGTTGCCCTTTTCTGAATCTTTTCCAATTTCAATGTATCATTTTTGAGATGGGGCAACCACATCTGCACGCAGTATTCAAGATGTGGGCGTACCATGGATTTATATAGAGGCAATATGATATCTTGTCTTATTAGCTATCCCTTTCTTAATGATCCACAACATTCTTTTTTGACTGCCGCTGCACAGTGAGTGGATGTTTTCAGAGAACTATCCACAGTAACTCCAATATCTCTTTCTTGAGCGGTAACAGCTAATTTAGACCCTACCATTTTATACATATAGTTGGGATGTTTTCCAATGTGCATTACTTTGCATTTATCAACATTGAATTTCATCTGCCATTTTGTTGCCCAGTCACCCAGTTTGGCACCAGAACAGAGAACAGCTGCTCCTAGGTGGAACAGCCCCAGCTGCGGCTAGGGAAGAGCAGAGGCTGCATTCCTCACAGCTCCCTGCCAGTGGGGTCAGGTCAGGAGGCAGGGGATATGGGGGGACAGACAGCGTGGGGAACATGGAGCTGCTGGGGTGTCACAGACTGGGGTTCAGAAGGGCTAGTGGGGGACAGACTGGGACAGGGGCTGAATAGCAGTGGGGGTGCAGGGACCCCACCGGCTCATCTCGGCCGCCCCATCGGGGAGGTGGAGCACGAGCGTACGGAGACAGGCAGAAGAGGGTGGCTGAGTGGGTGTGCAGGAACACATGGGGATGGGGGAAGAGGGTGGCTGACTGAGAGGCTGGGGTCACCCAGGGTCTGCATGGAAGAGGCTCCCTAAAAATCCCTTTCCCCAACAAACTAAAAAAAAATGTTCCATACTTCTCCCACCCACACCTAACAACCCTCCAAGTTCACTCTCAGTTTCCTTCCAAGCAATTACTTCCCTCTCCCTCAGCTCCTCCGATACCCCAACTCCCCCACGCCTTTGCACTGCTTCTGAGGGGTGCAGGAAATACATTTCTGTATTGTAGTTTAAATGAATTATTACTCAAAGTTCTGTATTAACATGCCTAGTAAGGAATCTATTTGTCAAAAAACTTTTTCTGAATCTTTTGTTTTTATCTGGATTGTTACAGACATACTTGCTAACAGGTATTTTGAAATAAATTACCAAAATAATTGAAACGTGTGACTATACTGTGATATTTTGACAAATAAAATTTGCTGAATTTTAAAATACGGGGGTACACAGAAGTCTTCCAAGGGGCACATCAACTCAGCTAGATATTTGCCTAGTTTTACAAAAGGCTACGTAAAAAGCACCAGGAAAGTCAGTACAAACTAAAACTTCATACAGACTTGTTTATACAGCTCTATATACCATACATTGAAATTCCAAAACAATATTTATATTTTATTGATTTTATAATTATATGGTAACAATAAGAAAATAAGCAATTTTTCAGTAATAGTCTTCTGTGACACTTTTGTGTTTTCAATGTCTGACTTTGTAAGCAAGTAATTTTTAAGTGGGGTGAAACTTGGGGGTATGCAAGACAAATCAGACTCCTGAAAGGCAGCAAAGAGTCCTGTGGCACCTTATAGACTAACAGACGTATTGGAGCATGAGATTTTGTGGGTGATGCATCCGACGAAGTGGGTATTCACCCACGAAAGCTCATGCTCCAATAAATCTGTTAGTCTATAAGGTGCCACAGGACTCTCTGCTGCTTTTACAGATCCAGACTAACCCGGCTACCCCTCTGATACTTGACTCCTGAAAGGGGTACAGTAGCCTAGAGAGGCCGAGAACCACTGATGTTGATTGCGGTAACCCCCAGCATGTGCTCTTCAAACAGAGGAAGCCCATCTGTAGGCGCTGTCCCAAAGTCCTCCCGCACCCTCTGCCCCACTCCACTCGCTGCCCCTGGCAGTCTCTCCTCCCCAACGTGGACAGGCAGCATCTCTCCGCCCGGCTGCCCCACGCGTTACAGGAGTCACTGTCACCCGCCGTGACGCAGCCCCGGGGGTAGCGCGGCCCGGAGCGGCCGCCCGCCCGTCAGTTACCGGCGCGCAAAGGGCGGGGGAAAGCTCCGTGTGCCCAGGCCGGAGCGGCGGCGCTGCGGTCCCTCCCCGGCGCACACGGGGGCTGAGCCGGGCCGGTCGGGACGCGAGGCAGGGCCTCGGCTCTGGGCGAGCACGAGCCGGCGGGGTTTCCCCAGCGGGTGAGCGCAGGCGCAGGGAGGGGTACCGTGTCCCGGTGCGCTCCGCACTTACCGGGCTGGGGGCGGGAGGGGTCCCAGAGTCGCAGCGGTTTGACCTCACGGCCTGGAGGCTCAGCGCAAAAGGGGAGCGGGGAAGCGAGCGGCTACTCTCGCGAGAACTGTGCCCGTCCTGAAGCCTCGCGTGGAGTAGTGTGCGTGTGCTGACCCGTAGCGGCAGAGAGGTGCCACTACCAGGGCGGGCACCTTGCCAGCCCGAGTTTCCGGCTGAGCTAGAACTGGGTCTGCGCATGCTCAAAACCCCTGCCCCTCCCGCGCCGCTTAGCGAGGGGGGGCAATGGGAGAGGGGGACTGGCCGAGGACGGCGGCCGCCCGCGGGGGGCGGGGTTGCCTGCTGCAGGGCAGGTGGCAGGAGCTGGTGCTGCTGAGCACCCTGAGGGCCGGGCCAGGGCATGGCACACGAGCCGCTGACGTTAGACTTACCGGTCTGTAATTGCCGGGATCACCTCTAGAGCCCTTTTTTAAATATTGGCGTTACATTAGCTAGCTTCCAGTCATTGGGTGCAGAAGCCGATTTAAAGGACAGTTACAAACCATCGTTAATAGTTCCGCAACTTCACGTTTGAGTTCTTTCAGTACTCTTGGGTGAATGCCATCTGGTCCCGGTGACTTGTTACTGTTAAGTTTACCAATTAATTCCAAAACCTCCTCTAATGTCAGACCCCCTGAGAGAGCAAGACTGACCTAATCCTAGGCTGGGGCTGCAGAGAGAGGTTGGGTTCTGTTGGCCTGGCAGCGTAGCGCCTGTGGTGTGTGCTCGGGTCGCCCTGGGGCTAGAAATATCCATTTTTTTTCTTTGCGTGAGAACCTCAGTTTTCACATATCACGGGACTCCCGCAGCTGGGGCTTCAGGAACACACACACACACACACCCTTCGCTGGCATGAGACGAGCTAGCACCCCTACACACTTTCATACATGGGTTGGGGGGGGGCATCAAAAGAATTCCTTGGCAGGTTTTTGGCATCCAAAAAAGAAAGAAAAATCCCAACTCAGTGCCCTAGGGCTCCTGGCATATGGGACACAAATGGAACTGGCAGCAGTGACCAGGAGAAAGCCCAGAAATGTCTTCGTCACTAACGTTGCTTTTGCATGGCTGTCGAGTGGCCAGGATCTCATTTGACTGCCCCATCATGTTTGTCTGCATCTCAGCCAGGATCTCATCTGGCTGAATTGTGGGCAAGAGCTGTAGCTCTCCCATCTCTACAGTTTGCTTTTGTGCATAGCATCTGACTGAGCCTCAGGGACTGACGGAGGGGGACCTGAGAAGGGATCAGGCATGCTGCAATGAGTGTGGGGGTGGGGGGAGCAGGTGGTGCAGCCCTAAAGACAGCTCCCAAACCACAGCAAGTTTGGTCTAAGGCAGAGCTGTCAGACTGTCTCAAAGTAGGCCACAGCTTGAGGCATAGAACTCTATGACCACTTACCTGCCAGTGCCAAGCCTCCCCAGCTACCCATCAGCACCAAGTCTCCTCTCCCATTCACTATTGTCCAACCTTTCCAACCACAAGCACCCAGCCTTGCCACCCCTCCCACTCTCCCTCATCCAGACTGCCTTACCTTATTTTTCTGTCCCCAGCCCACAAGGCACTGCCCATCTTGCTTTTTCACTCCCCTTCACCATCCAACAGCATCCCCATGGCAACTGCAGCACATACTTGGGTAGAAAAGTACCTTATTCAGAAATTTTTCACTAGCAAATTTTTCACTGGGTAGCTCCAGGTTCCAAGGGCAACTCCCCCATCCTCTCTGTCCACTGGTGGAGGAAGACTGGCTGTTTCCTCATACTTGTTTCAAGCTGATTTTTCAGGCCTTCATGCAAGAATACGCTGGATGCCTGTAGAAGTCACTGTGACTTGCCAGCTTTCTGTGACCCATCAATTGAGAACTACTACTGATTTAAAGAATAGATGCAGAGATGCGGGGGGGGGAGGGCAGAACTGTTTCACCTCCTACCCCCTCAAGGAAACCCATCTCCCCCTAAACAACAGCATAGATAAAGGTGTGAACAATATCTCACCACTCCCTTTTCACTGCAGTGATGTTAATTTGCTTACTGGATGAGACTATATAAAGATTAATGTTTTAAAGCAGAAAAGTCAAAGCTACACCCAGAGCTGGAGACCAAGCACTTTGCAGAAACACCTCCATTGTCTTACTGCTTTCTCCCCAACCTCCATTCACCTCTCCCCATCTTTTAATTATTTTAGAAGGAGCTTGCTCTCGCTCTGCAAAGCAACTTCAAGCCTATGCCCCATATATTATGGAAGGATAAATGTTTTCAAGTTTCTTAATTAAGAAAATTGTAATATGGTAGCTCATCAAATCCCCATAATAGCTACAGGGTTCCTTTACTTAAGCACTGAACAAATCACCTGGCAAGGGACACTGAACTGTTAAGTATCCTGAATTTCTTTTTAAAGGATGTCCAATAATTTGTTGTTGCCTAGTGCAGCCTTCAGTATTGTCTGGTGTACAGCCTATTCCTTTTGATCAGCACTTGCAGAAGAGAATAGAGGCATGGAGAATTTAGTGTTTGGGGTCTAAGAAGAAAAAATTTCAGAAAGAAGATGGGGGACTGAGAAAGGAAAGACACAAGATGAGAAGGGAAAGTGTCTATGAAAGACAGCTAACAGAACTGTACACCACTGAAAATTTAACCTAGTGATCTGGTACTCAGGAAAGGGGAAACAAGTGAAGGGTACAGCAGATTCATCTATCTTGCCCTCTGCAAAGAGCCTAATTAACCTCAAAATTAGAAATGAAGACATTAATTTATTTATTTAAAATATTTTTATTTTTTTCCCGCTTAAGTTGTATTTCATGTCTTTACAAAAAGAAGTCCCGGATTCTGGTTGCTTCAATCCAGGAAATGTAAGCAGAAGTCCTCGTAAAAACACTGGGTTTGTTCTCCACTTTGCATCCAATAGGCCCAAAGCTAACTACACCATGCACTTCCCACTTTTGTCTTCTAATCTGGCAAACCAGTGGTCCACCTGAATCTCCCTGAAAGAAACAACCATTAGATGGGACTTGTAATTGCAGGAAATTGCTATATATGCCAATCACTTTGTGCTCTTTAATAGCTCTATTAACAAACAGAACAAATCAGACTTTTTGCATGCTACATAATGCATAAAACACACCTAGATCTATTTTTAATGGGTGTCATTAAAAGGATGTAGAGCTACACTGGAGTTCTTAGCTCTGAGGCATCTTGCGGTAAAGTCTCCACTTACAAGAAGTGAGGAAAGCACCATGTTTTAGCACAGAGGTTCTCAGACTTTTGTACTGGTGACCCCTTTCACATAGAAAGCCTCTGGGTGCGACCACCCTTATACATTAAAAACACTTTTTTATATATTTATCACCATTATAAATGCTGGAGGCAAAGCTGGGTTTGGGTGGAGGCTGACAGCTCATGACCCCCCATGTAATAACCTTGCAACCCCCTTAGGGGTCCTGACCCCCAGTTTGAGAACCCCTGTTTTAGCAGGATACTCTTGATGAGATTTAGCTGTCAGGTGAGAGTCCTCTTTAGGATTACCTAAACTCCACATGGGTCACATGAACAGCATTTTCTGCCAAGCAAATAAGGATATTAGATGCAGACTGAGTCAGCTCCTTGTTCTTTAAAGCTGTCTAATCATTTATTGGATTAAGAGGGTGGATGATTCAAAGATGAAGTAACAGTATACAGTGTGTTTCATCTCTTAAACCATAGGTCTGGATCAAGGCTAGGTTGGTCATTACTAACATCTGATGGGTGTTCAGTGGCCCACATGAAGTGAATTAGTGGTCTTGATCAGATTCCTACTAGAAAAAAGTACAGATCACAAAAACCATTTCAGCTGACACTAATATGCCCTATGGTTGGGCAGTCATAGCAGAGAGGTCAAGAACTGCATAGGCCAGGGGTGGGCATACTTTTTGGCCCAAGGGCTCTGGTGGGGAAATTGCATGCAGGGCCATGAATGTAGGGCTGGGGCAAGGGGTTGGGGTGCAGGAGGGAGTGCAGGGTGTGGGAGGGGGTGTGGTGTGCAGGAAAGGGCTCAGGGCAAAGGATTGGGGCAGAGGAGGGGTGCGATGGGGCTCAGGGCAGCGGTGCAGGGAGGAGTGTAGGAACGGGCTTAGGGCATAGGGTTGGGCTGCAGGAAGGGTGCGGGATGTGGCAGGGGGCTCAGGGCAGGGGGTTGGGGTGCAGGGGGAGTGCGAGGTGCTGCAGGGGGTTGGGGTGCAGGCAGGGTGCAGCAGGGGGCTCAGGGCAGGGAGTTGGGATGCAGGGTGCAGGAGGGGTTCAGGGTATGGGCTCCGGCCCAGTGCCGCTTACCTGGAGCGGCTCCGGGGTAGCAGCAGCACGCATCGGGGCCAGGGCAGGCTCCCTGCCTGCCTGCCTGCCCTGGCCCCGCGCTGCTCCCAGAAGCAGATGGCACCATGTCCCTGCGGCCCCTGGGGGAGGGTGGGGCAGAGGGCTCCGCGTGCTGCTCTCGCCTGTGGGTACCTCCCCCGAAGCTCCCATTGGCCACAGGAGTTTCAGGGGAGGTACCCACAGGCGAGGGAAGCGCGCGGAGCCCTCTGCCTCCTCTTCCCCAGGAGCTGCAAGGACATGGTGCCAGCTGCTTCCAGGAGCGGTGCGGGGCCTGCGGCGCCACGGGGGTGGCAATCCCACGGGCCGGATCCAAAGCTCTGATGGGCCGGATCTGGCCCATGGGCCTTAGTTTGCCCACTCCTGGCATAAGTCAATGAGCCAATTACTTTAGTAATTCTTGAAGGGATGCATCCAGAGAGGATAAAGGGTATGTTGACAGCACTGTGTAGGGAAGTTTGCACTACAGCTGCTTGTGCTGTAGCTGATCTATGGGAAGTACAAAGAACTTCAGTATCCAGGGCTACCAATCAGTCACTTTTCACAAGCACTAAAAATTAACACTCCCCAAGTCTTCCCACATCCAAAATTAAAATAATGTTTTAATTCCCCTAAATAATGCCTGACCAAAAATCATCATAAAATATATTAAATAATATATTCCTAGAAATTGCCTGGGAATTGGTACATATCTTTCACTCATTATAATACAAAGAGGTGGAAAAGTTAAATACCTTTAATTAGACTAGTCAAAAAGTGATAATACACAAGCTTTTGAC